AGACATGATTTAGTAAGTACTGAGAACATTTAATTAAGTCTAATTGTATATAATATAAGTAAAATAAATCAATTTCCAAAACTATTAGTTCATTGATGATATTAATTTTTAAGCATGTAACATATATTCACTTAAAGTGTTTTCATTTTGTCTTAATGGGGAATTTCACTTATTGCTTGGGTACAAAAACAAAGTGTATTACATGTTTTCCAAATTTTTATTTACTATTAAAATATTCTTGTTTTTRTTTTTCCAAATTCAAAGTATGACATTTATACAACTTGGTTAAAGTACCAACCTAAATATGAAAATAAAAGTTATTTATGTAAAATGTTAGTATCATATTTTGAGTTTTCGTGACTTAAATTATCCTATTTGCTCTGCTCAGGTCTAACTACCATATCATTGAATAATACCTCTACTGATTTTTTATAATAAAACTTTGTTATTCAATAACAATCATATTTAGAAAATACATTTGAAAAAGTTTTTTTTTGTTTTAGTTTACTAAGTTTAAATATTCATAATTATGATTTTTTTATGTCTCCTTTGCTCATAACATTTTGATTTGATTTCTGAGATCGATAATCAATATCAAAAATTGTAATTGATAGTAATTTCATTCGACTTTTGAAGAAATTAACGAAGTTGTATGCTTAGTGTATGTGAATATTTTAATAAAATTTCATTGATATTATCATGAAATCTAAAAATAAACAGTAGTAAAATTACAAAAGGTCTTGGAACTCTACTAAATACATGCAGTCATTTTCATTATTTATTTTTTATAACAATACTGTTGAAGTAAAATTGTTCACATTATTTGAACAACTTTTTAAGTGATAAACTTTTTCTTAAGTTATAGTGTACGGTACTACGGTGTATCCATCTATAACCTTAGTTACTATACCTTAGAACCTATATAGCTATTATACCTAAACATTTCGTTTAATATTCAATGTTATAAGCCCGAAAATGTTAATGATATACACCTAATAGTTTAAATAGTTGGATTTAGATAAAAAATAAACTAAATTACTGTTACATAATTAATCGGTATAGTATTTTTTTAAATTATACAAATTAAGTACAAGTGTAAAAAAAAAAATCGCTATCACAACAACGTATACAGTTTCTGAAAAAGTTTCAAAATTTTAAATAGGTTAATGGAAAATTAACTTTTACATCTTTATATTATGAAGAAGAAAAATGTGGTTTAAAGCTTTGATTCAATTGATTGCTTCAATAATTCTTTTTTTTTAATTGAATGTACTTATGCAAATTATATGGCATTTCAAACAATGTTATTGTGGCATAGCTACATATCAAGTCAAAGCTGGGCAAATCAGCAGCAGTTAATTTAAAATAAAAAATTACAAACTTTTCTATTCACTGTTAAAAAAATGTATATTGGGTTATTCAATGTTTCTATAAAATAATATTTAAGCATGAGAAACTTGTACTAGTTTTAAAAACAAAATAAATATTTTTTTTAAATATAAGTTTATCTTACTTATCTTAGAACMAAGAAATAGATTCTGATATATAAAGTAATTAAAAAAAAAACAACTTGATTGCAACTAGGTGTCTACGTAGTTAATAATTTATTTTTATTGCCATGTTTATACTTATTTTGTAATATTATAAATGCGTCTATAGTCTATATTTTATTTAATATATCATACTAGACATAGGTATAGGATACCTAATGTAATGGTTTTGTCAGTTCAAGATTTTATTTATTATTAAAAAAAAAATTCTTTGACTCAATGTTTTATTTTTATTCTAGGAATAGAGTATATAAAAGCAATAAGTTATGTAACTAATATAATATATGTATGTACGTATGTAGTAGCTATAATATCATAAGTGGATTGGTGGGCGCGGTTGTACGATTAACTGTGGAAACGCTCAAGAGTTTACGTATCGGCCGGTGTTGTTAGTTACCGGATGGGTGACCACCAGGTGTTTAGCAATAAACCCTTGTCACACATACATTACGTGTTTAAAATCAACCATTCTTATCTACAAACAGCTAATGACCCCAGTTTCCGGGCTTATGATCAATGAAAAAAATTTCTTAAATCATAATAAATTAGTATAATATGGTTTAATTAATAAAATCATAAAAAATTAAATATTGCCCACCTGTTGATTAGGTATACCTATCTTTTTCAGTAATTTTTTTAATATCATATGTCAAAATTGCCTTATCGAATAAGATAAGTCATTGCTGTAATTATATAAATATAATAATTATAATGTTATAATAATATAATGTATGCATTTTTTTTCAGGCCTCGATCACACGAGCATKGAAAGAACGGACGTTAAGTTATAACGTCCGTTGTGCAGCAAATCACATAATTCAACAACGGACGTTATGACGCCCGTCAGTAAAACGCTCGTGTGACCGAGGCCTAAATGGTAAGCAAGTAATAAGAAATGTAACTTTCTTTAAAAGCTTAAAATAATTAGAAGTCAGAAACTAGTTGAACCAATGGACCAAACTGTAGTCAAGGTGTTCAAGAAAGAATGCCAAGAACAAGGAAAACGCTTTGTGCAGCCATAATAAAGTTATTATTCTATGCTAAACATTGTAATATTAATTAATATTTTAAAAATAATTAAATCTGACAAGGCTAAAGGGGAATGATGTATTGTTGTGTTAATAATATACTTATGTGATAAGTAGAATAAACACAATAAAATATAGTTACGTTCGACTATTACAATAGTCAATAATGAATAATTAGTCATTATTTAGAATGACTGATTGCTGAAATTGACGGTAAAATGTATTTTAATATTTGTATATAATTAATATATTCTTTTTATAATTTAAAATTTTGTCGACAGTAATTTTGTTATTATTATATTGTTTTTTTAATACTACATAATACATTATTTATTACTATTATGGTTAAATATGTTTATAAATAATCACAATACTTTTTTAAATAATKCACACCAAATTGGACACAATGTAAGTTATTACAAATTCACAACAACACTTATAAAATGTTATTAACCATATTTGAATTTAAATTAAACACAAAATTGGTTTTCCGAAACGATACACGAATCAATACAAGTGAAAGGAAAAAAACAATCTAATAAAGAGTTCAATCGTCAAAAATCAAATGAAATATAAAACTGGCTCTATTCATTGCACATATAGTCCAACAGAACGGAGCTATATAAAACTTTTACTTGATTTGATATAAAAGTTGTTGAACACTATAGACCATAATCCCTTCCTTTTGTATTTTATTAGATCACATTTATCAATAGTGCCCTATTTTTCTCTATATTTTCCCTTTGTAGTTTTTATCAATGATTATGGTCGAAAACTAGTTGTSAAAACAAATCGTAAATCTCATCACAATACAATATATTATTGCTTGTACAATTCGACCGAATTAATAGTATTTATGAATTTGTATTAATAATTTTTTWCAGTGGTCTGCAGTAATAACGCTACGAAGGATGTGCCTACAAAATATAATACATTTAGTACAAATACAATGTCGCTGAAATGACGCAATATAAATTTATAATTACTAATTACATATCATTCGGTTAAAACTAAAATTAAAGATTTTTTTGTGTTAACCGAAGTCTGCAGGTTAAAGGTACACACCACAATAAATTAAATATGCCATTGTATGACGTGWTCGTGCATGGGATTAAAGCCTCATGTGTAAATACTTATATAATATCATACAAAAATGTACATTATTATTTTCTTTTCTAAACAGGTACYGTACATAWAATATTAAAATAATTAATCACTCGTTATGTTTGTTATGCACGYGTGTAMAAAATAAATGGCACAGAAATTCATATTTGGCATTAGTTCAATAATAAATGTAAAAACCTGGCATTTTAATGTAAGACTATAGAAGTTATTTTAGTGAACCGGTAMGTGCACAAATATAATTAAAACTAAACCAYTAACTTGCCCGGATCTGTATAAAATCAAAAGTAATGTTCCAATGTCTATATGGCGTTATCGATTAATTTATTCGTGTGTGTAACCCAYCCGTTAATGAAGTCAAAACAAATATTTAATATTGTGTTTTGGGATTAATTTTTATGATTAGATTCGACGACGGTTAAAAACATGTATTTTAGACGAAATTACTTAACGTGAAATAAAAATTTGGAGCAGTCACTCTGCTGATTATAGTAGTAGCAGGGAAGTACCTAATGTGCTTAATAAATTATATATGTATATATATATACAATTTTTCTCGACATATTATAATATGAAAGTGCTTTTCTATTTCTCAAATAAATAATTTAATACATCAATTATTAAATAAAAAATAAGAATAAAAATTATAAAAAGAATYAATACATTTTCTGAAAATGATTCTAAACATATTTAGCTCCAATCGATTTACATTTAAACCTATGGACTGATTATACTGAATTATTTGAAAGAAATCATTTTAAATCGCTATTTGATTTTCAGTTTAATATGGCAATGTATATGTCTATGTATATTGATACATAGTACAAAAGTGGGTTAAAATTATTTTTTCTTACTCACATTAACTATAATTCCGGGCATTGGAAAAACACGGGTGGGAGGTGATTCTTTTGGCACGTATCGATAGAATTCTTGATCCCTCAGATACCATTTTATTGAATACAGTGCCGTATTTTCCAAATCGTATGTGCAATTCATTCGCAGTATGGATCCAGATCGCACTGCCACTGGGACGTGGATTTGCAAGTCCCTTAAGCCAACACATTCTGTAAGTCAATAAAAACAATAATATACTACAGTGTACACTTGGAAACAAAAGTTACCATTATCCTCAAAAGTTAAAAGTAATTTAAAATAAATATATTATTATTATTATTTCTATCTGTACGGTATATACCTATACGAAATAAAGGTGCCCATATACACTACACAGGGGACGCGGTGGTTTGAAAGTACGGCCGTGTAAGGGGGGGGGCCCTCTTTGAGTTTCTTTCACTGTCTTTGTATTCCAATAATGACGGGGATTGCAAAGAACCTACATAAACCTCACGCCATTATAAATTATCATAATAATATGTAATTCGCAATATCGTGTATATACTATATACTATATAGTATGCAATATTCAATATATATTTTTGATCCACACATAGGTAATATATAATATATAATGATGATATTTAATATTTCTTAGGCATCTGATGTGTCCATATTTAATTTTACGAGTGAGCCCAATATTGTTGTTTAATTTAATATTCACCTATATATATGTGTTATGAGTGGATACTAATATTATACTGTATAAGTACGCAAAAACGCCAAAAAGTTTCTTTTTATTTCAAATATAATATTTAGTGGATGTCTTCCTAATGTACAACGTAATATTTTAAAATTAAATTCAAAAATDTATTAGTTTTAGTGAATTGTATGTTGGATATATTTAATAGTATTAACATAATTCAGGTATTTTTTGATTATGCTTCGTACAAACGATAAAGATATTGTCGTATATAATTCAAACTTAAAACTGTAATTTAAAATTTCCATAAGTGTTGTACATTCATAAATAATAAGAACTGTGTATATGAATTTTAGTGTCGTGGCTTAATTTTCTTTCTCCATTAGCTATATACTACCTATTTAAAAATTATGTGAAAGATTTTTCATCCTTCGCTGCTTGAATAGTCTATCAGAATGAAAAATTCGTAAAACAAAAATTAAACGTAATATAGGTATTAATGAAATGTTCAWATTACAATCGTTTTTCTTCGGTCGGAATAAAAAAATATGGCGCGTTTGTGGTCAACTAAATACTTAGCAAAAATATAATTTTATCTACAAATTAAACACGTGGGTTAATTACATACAACATACACACATACATACACACGCGCGTGGAACATATATTATATATAGCTTGAAATATGTGTATTTAATAATATGACAACAGCTCGAAAAACGTTTATTATCCGATGCCTATTGTTTTGCGTTGGGACGAAAGTGATTTATAGTTTTGAGATTTAACATCTATATGGGATTTCCGATTCATTTTTGCAGGTGTTTGTTTTTAATTTTATGAACGCCACGCGGCATCACACTATACCTATCTAGCTATATAACGGTTGATTTCAACTGCATTTGACAACCACACAGAAATATATCGGCTTTTGCGAGAGGCCAAGTTTGGCGTTGTGTTCGGGGACGTGCGTATACTATATTAGTAAAGAATGATTTTGGTTTTTTTCATTTATATTTCTAAAGCTGCACATGGCCTTGGCATCGCTCGATGAATTATTACATTGCGCCAACACTGTATATAAATCATCCGGTTGCAAATAATAATTTATATAAACATATAATAATATACGCCGACGTACCTTGCGGTGTAATTATCATAATAAAACGCGGCGTCGGATAAAGACTGCGGAAGAAAACCAACCCCTGCATGCAGTGGTGGGGTATATATTATCTGGTGTATACGCATACGACCGGGTTGGCCACCACCACCACCACCACCACCACCACCACCACCACCACCACCTCCATCGGCACATCGGTACACCGGATAACTGGTGTCAGACATACATAGCGAACCGTTTTGTGACTTTCGTGTGACGTCATATAATACTTACGAACAGTCGGAATGAAATGATATGTGCAGTACCATTTTTTCCGTACATGCACGGGTGGACGGTCACACAAACGCATCCGGAAAAAACGATATCATTTCCGATATAAATTTCGTAAATTTGAGTCAAAATATAATATATATTATAGTACGATGTTAATAATAATATCTATTCGACGATCATATTGCAACTGCAGTAATTTGATTTTCATCTCGCAACAATATTTAACGGGAAATATTCAAATATATAACAAATATCGACGATTATATTATTATCTGTACTCATTTCCATTTTGAAATGGGATTTTTGCGAAACGCCAAGCTCGTCGGTGGTTTTCTGTTATAGCTACTGAGACAGTATTTTCCGATTAGAGCTTACTCTCTGAGTACTGTACATGATGGAGATTCATCAGGRATGCTAACCTCAAATTTTGATTTTGACAATAATATTCATGTATTTAAAATCTGATTTTTAGAATTTTTAACACTTATACTTTTACAATTATTTTACATGGATGCTTTTCATGTCTTAAATAAAGTTAAGAGATACAAATTTCCATTTTTCGAACAAGTACCAGACTACCAACCGTTTTTACTATAATTTATCGATCAATTGATTTTTCTCGTAAATGTTGGTGTATTGAACGAATACTCCATGTACTAAAGAGACTAATGATAATAGTCTATAATAATTGGTTTGAAAATRTTGATATATGATGATTTGAAAATACATATGAAAATATTATGGTACTTAATTGCAACAAATCTATATTCTACATTTTTTAAAATTATTCAAGTAAAATATGTAATAAGTTCTATATAAACTAAATATTAAGATATAACTAGTAATACTCTTTTATATTTAAAGTTGAACCATAACAATTAAGGACTACTACCTCTACTACACAAGGTTTAATTACAGAAAAACTACTCGTTGGAGTTTAAATTTAGATATGTCGAGAAAAAAATCATCCAAATAACAATTCACAGTAAAAAATGGAGGTTTTCATTTGAAAAAAAAAGTTTGAATAGCCACTGGATTCTCCTTGAGTGGTACAACATTTTTTTAAATAATATGTTCTTTAAATACAATTAAAAGTTCTGAGAATCACAATTTGATTGAAGAATGCCTTATATATGAATTAACACCAAATCACTCAACTTCCCGCACAACATTGAAGGAATTCTCAACAAAGAACAAACCTCAATAGTCATCCTGTGCATCACTAAATGCAATCTCATTATCAAACTCTAACTTAGTTAATCTTAATTGTAAATAAATTTTACTGTTTAATTGTAAATATTATAAAATTTGTATTTTTAATAAAAAAAAAATGTCGGCAATAACCTTAGTAGGTAGTTGAAGATTGTAAATCTCTTTAAAAAAAAATCATAATTCGATAAAAACAATATACAGTTGAATGCTTGAATGTGAACATGATTGGTGAATAACTAATTTATACTTGTGACCATGTTATTGTTATATCCGGGTATTTAACTACCGGGTAGGTACCTAGTACAGTAAACTGGGTATTTTTCAGATGATTGATTTTTTTTCGGTATTCTTTGAAATATCATCTAGTATGTAAGTAATAGTAATTGTGGCGTACCCGAAATTCGATCAGGGAGAGAGAGATATTAAAGATAGATATTTAATAATGAATATAGATCTTGACACGAACCCTTCACCATCCAACATCAATCAATTTTTTAGTTTTTTTTTAATCAGTCGTATTCCTTTGTTGTTGTATATAATGTTATTTTAGCAAATTTTACCATGATAAATAAATACAATATATAATAGGTAATAATATATGTGTAAATCAGTAGCGCACACAAAATGAGGTCTGATCTCCAATGTGTATTAATTTTCAAGAAATGTTATGAAATGTTTTTTGAAAACGCTTAAAATCATAGACCTTTAGTTTAAAGGTCTATATGCTCAAAAATATATAATACTGTATTTCTGTGATGTTGCTTATAAAAAAAAAATACGCATTTTTGTTTCCACTGGTGATTCGAGTTACCGCTATCAATCTTTGGAAAATAGTCGTGTATATTACAATATTATATACCTACACAATGGCCGCAAACGGACGGTTTTACTCTCGTTTTGTGGTTTTCATCATCGAAAGTTTACGAAAAGATAATTGTCCCTACTCAAGTTCTGGAAACAACGTTTTATACCAAACGCCTTTCATGTCCAGACCGTAAACGTCGACACTCGATATCATCTATATAAGACCTGTTTATGTTTAACCAAATATTATATTATTATTACCTCATTTTGACTTGTTATTGTATTTGTATTATTTCATCGTTGTATTTATAATWACAYACATAAATACATTTCGGATAATTCGGGTTTGATTTTTGAGTTCATAACGTTATGATCAAATCTAAATACCGAACACTCTCTGACGAAAAAATGTTGTCCTCTTTTCTGGTATGTGCACTCTTCGACTCTTCAAAGGATGCAGTTCGTAAAAAGTTTGTAGTTTGTCCCTAAAAAAATAGTCTACTATTCAAAAGAGTTTGCTGTTTAATGATRTCCGTTAAAAGAGGTCCTATTGCAGAGGTTGCGATCCTTTTTTAGGTCTAGTGCCAAATTTTTGCAACCAAAAGTTTTAAAATTTTTCACTTGTCMGAAGATTGTTAACACTGAATAGAACACGATAAATATAGTAACATAATCAATTTTACATAGAAATATTATAATTTTTAAAATGTTTATAGTTTGTTTCTTTGAAATTTTAAGGATATCATAATTTTTCACAATTTTAATTTTTTGCGTGYCATTGAAATTTTATAAACGTGCCACTTTTGACACGCGTGCCGTGGATTTGCCACCCCTGGCCCCTGTCCTATAGCATCACTTATTTACTGTGCGCGTAGGCACTTACACATCAATGCGCTGCATTGATTTTTTACGACTCTGRAAATTAAGTGTTGTGTGTATTAAAACTAATTAAGCATTACTAATGTTTTTTTTCAATTTTTTATTTTGATAGAGAAAAGAATAAATACTTAAACGAGATAATTTTGAAAATGAAGAAAGATTTATTTATTTTTATAAAAATCAGCCTGAAAAATTTTCGTTTTAATAAATCGTTTATTATATTAACCTGTTTTGTTTAT